GCGGGCTCCGACACCTGCGGCATCGGGCAGGGGAATCTCCGCCGCCGCCGGCCGAGCGCGACCGCAGGTGTCACCTCCTGGAAGCGGGCGCAGGTCACCGCCTCCCCCAGCAACGCCGGCTGGTCCCTCGGGACGCCGGCCAAGAGGGAGGGAAATCGATACCTCGCCGCTTCCCCCGGCCGCGGGCAGGGCTGGGGCCACGAGGCTCATTTACGTAAAAGCCAGCGTCCGCGCCGCGCAAGGCCCTTCGCTCAGCTGGAGGATGGCTGTTATTGTATGGTAAAGAAATGTCAAAGAAACGGCCCGTTTGGCTTGATTAATGGTATTCACTGAGGTTGCACAGTTATGAAACAGATGCCTACGGGGAGCGCCGGCACGCTGCAGTTAAACCACAATACGGTTTTGTGTTGTTTTTTAATGTTCAATTGGTATTTAAAATGCAGTAACTTTCCTAGCCAACCTAAATTAAAGCACTAGTGGAGAGGCATAAAGCGAAACCAATTGCTCAGATATGTCACTGGAATCGATCCATTCCCTTTTCCCAATTTAACACGGTCTAAAGTCTTTTCCCCATGTTCACAGTGAAGTTTATGGAGGACTCAGATGCTGGGATTAAAAAAAACTCCGTCTAAGTGACTGGCATTATCTGCTGCTTCTTTTGCAGCGCTGCTTAACAGGTTTGAGAGGGAGAGCAGGGCTCCGTTGTGCCGGGAACTATTTATATCGCCGGTATGAAAACAGAGCGCTCGCAATCCAGGCTTCAGCCAGTTGTCAGGAGAGGAACAGGGAGGCGAAACACCTCCGGGGGATTTATAGCACATGGAACAGAACAAGCAAGAAACTGCAGAGCAAGGAAACCGAGCGGAGTCACCCTGCTTTTCTTTTTACTTCCCTTAGGTAGCACGGTAACAATTTTGTACTTGATAAGAGTACAAAATTGAGGGAAATCAGCCAAATTCCTCGGTGCACTGGCTTCTTTAAGTGAACTCATGTGCAGTTTCCAAGGGTGACCACTACTGATGCTGCAGACGCGGGAGGCAGAAGCCCCCGACGCGGGGCTGCGGATGCTGCGTGAATC